AATAAAAAGATAATTTAACGAAAATTTTTTATAAAAAGAAAATTTAGTGAAAATTTTCAATAAAAAGAACATTTAACGAAAATTTTCTATAAAAAGAAAATTTAACGAAAATTTTCTATAAAAAGAAAATTTAACGAAAATTTTCTATAAAAATAAAATTTAACGAAAATTTTCAATAAAAAGAACATTTAACGAAAATTTTCTATAAAAAGAAAATTTAACGAAAATTTTCAATAAAAAGATAATTTAACGAACATTTTTTATAAAAAGAAAATTTAGTGAAAATTTTCAATAAAAAGAAAATTTAATATAAAAAAATTAAACGAAAATTTTTTATAAAAAGAAAATTTAGCGAAAATTTTCTTTAAAAAGAAAATTTAAGGAAAATAGAGAAATAGAATCCTTAAAAATTAAAAAGGTAGCTGATAAAAACACTCCATGGCGGCCAACAATCACGAACAGAACCGACCATTCAATGATGGTAAAGGACCATCTTTTAATGGGTCTGACAAAAACAAAGACGGTTTCATTATACCTAATTATAATATAGTACATATATCTTATATATAATTATTAAATGCGGTGATAATGGTTTAATTTGATTATCAAAAATTCCCACAGAATTTAGAAGAACATCACAAGATAATGACTTCGTCATCACAAAGTCGAGCATTATCGAGAAGACAACAATCAACGGGTACTCTTATCTTAAAAGGATCAAGACAGTATCTAAATGCAAACAGCCTGGGCGGGTTTCCGAACTCAGTATTCTCTATGCCACATATGTATGCCAGTATTAAGTAGGCTTTGATGGTGTTCTATGGCTAAAAATAACATTCATATTTACCTTTAATCTTTGAGGACCTAACAGCCGCAAAGGTCGAGTTTTTACACATCCAGTACTTTATGATTGCTTCCAGCTATATGTTATATGAACGAACGATTTATGTAGTCTACAGTGTGAGACCTCCGTCTTTTTATATGAAACGAGATACATACATTGTATGTACATACATGTCTCCATGATATCTTATTAGAAACAAGTTGCTGTGAACTGACTGTGAACTTCATACATAAGTACAACTGGTTCTAGGCTTTACAAAAGATCAATGTTGATTATAATGCCCCTTTAACCCAATCCTAGGGAGTTTCAATGTAATGACAATATCTACACTCATCAGGAGAGTTATAGTGATTTTTGTAGAGTTATAGTGATTTTCATATTCAAAGGAATATTTCATTGTCCCCCGATATACAACCCTGGCGATACCTGCATTTTGTTATTGCAAATAGACAAAATTGTTGCAAAACAATAAAAAGAATTTTTGATCTTTCACAGTTTTATAACAAATGGAAGTTCTAAGTTCGCCATATGAAAAATCAATTTAAAACCATATGTTAAATTAATTCCAAACGTAGTTAGTTTTATGAGGGGAGGGGAAAAGGTGTAATGAATCGCATTAATTCACCAAATTTAAAACCCAAACATATTATCACTATTTCGACATCAATATGCTAAAGAAGTTCATTAAAAAAAAACAACCCCTAATAATATATTTATACCCAAAATACACAAATTATTTTAAATTTCAATCACAACGACAATATTATGCTCGTACATCGTAGATAATGTGTGACCAATTATGACAAACCCAAAAATATTAAACAGAATTTATGGCCACCACAGACACACACACACTACGACTCCAACTAATAATAAAGACAACAACAACATTGCACCACAGCATGTCAGCATATTTTATGCTGCATATTTTGTGGCTTCCTTACAAATGAAGTACACTCACTATCCAATACATCCAACTTAAAAATGAATTCGCCGAACAACCCCCAAAGTAGATGGTGTAAAACAAAAATATACAAATAGTTTTCTAAAGCATAAGTATCCATAGCATACCTTTTAAAAACGAACGAAATTCATATACACCACACCACTAAAAATAAAACGTAATAATATTTACGATAAAAAATACCAGGCAATAACGTAAAATACGTATGAGTATTACGTTATTTTACGTTATTATGTAAATTTGCATAAATGAGTACGACATAAATAGTGAGTACGAGTATTGTGTATTTCTTGTTTACCGGCTGGTATTTTTACTAGAGAGCTACAAATTACACTAAAAAATTGTTGTACGAAATTCGAATCGTAATATGTTTTGACGGACTAGTGGGTTGGTTGGTGGAATATTGTGTGAGAGAGAGAATCGAAATATTCAACACATTGTGTGTGTTTGATTGTTTGGTAAACATTACTACTCCCTGTTTATGTTTTTTTGTTTTTATATTTTTTGATTTACGTATTGTTGTTATTATTACATGTGAACGTTAACGGCAACAACTACAATATGTTAAATGCAGAGTATTTAATGAATGAATTCGTTTAAAAAGGGAAATAATAACTTTTCAAATTATTTTGACGCCTTTGTTGTAAACTTACCAAATTATTCCCCATAGCATCAAAATTCTCCAGAAAACCTGAAAAGAAAAAAAAGCATTTTAATATACATACACTACTACATACATTATTAAAATGTCCACTTTCAATTGGTGTTCTCTACATCGATTTTCTTAACTAATAAAAAATTTTGAAAAGTTACATTAAAATCTTTTTTTAGATTATATTACTCAGATCCCGACTAGGGTCTGTTGTCTATGTCAAGGGCGGCTACTCTGTTTTGGTTTAGTTTTTCGAATTTTTTTAATACTTACTACAAACCTAGGATGCGTCTGACTAAGAGAAGCGGCAGTATAATTGTTTATTACTAGGGTTCTATAAATCGACATTCGAATAATCGAACAATCGACTTTTTGTCGAAAAAAGTCGAAAAGTCGAAGTCGACTATTTTGTTCCAAAAAAGTCGATAACTCGACTATCGTCTATGAAAAAAGTCGACTTTGTAAATAAAAGTCGAAAAAAGTTGAAGAAAAGAAAGAAACTCGAAAATAGTATAAAAAAGTAAAAAAAAGTCGAAAACTCAAAAATAGTAGAAAAAAGTCAAAAAAGTCGACAATTTTAAAAAAATGAAAAAAAAGTCAAAAACTCTAAAATAGTCGGAAAAACTCGAAAACAGTCAAAAAATAGTCGAAAGAAGTCGAAAATAGTCAAAACGTCGAAAAAAATCGAAAAGTCGGAAAAACCCAAAAGTCGGAAAAAGTCGAAAAGTCGGAAAAAGTCGAAAAGTCGACTATTTATAAAATACTAAAAGTCTAAAACTCGACTTTTAACTAAATGAAAAAAGTCGAAAAATCGACTTTTCATAAAATACAAAAAGTCGGAAACTCGAACGAACAATGTAGACGAACTGTAAGCGCTCTCTTCGATGTAGTCAATGAGAAATCCAGATCCAACATCCTTGACTTTTGGGGAAAAGCGCATGGGCATAAACATGCATTTGAACGTTTGAAGAAATACACTATTTGTGGCTACTCAGGCCAACTAATGTAATTTTTTCAGGGCGACTACTAAGACGCTGAAAAAGTTAAGAACTCTGTCTCAGGCAATGGAAACTTGAACAACTAAGATCCAGCATCCTTGATTTTTAGGGAAAAGCATTTGAACATTTGAACATCACAAACTCAGTGTTCGATGTCTACACTGGATCATTTACTGCCAATAACTTTCAGACTCCTAATGTATAAGAAAAAAACAATAATGAACATTGCAACATGCCAACGTCATTAAGAAAAATGTCAAGAGCACTACCTGTGACTACTGAAGATCCTACAACACAATTATGCTGCAAAAGTCAAGTTTCTTAGGGAACGTTATTGAAATTATCAACCAATCAGAAGATAAACTATAAGTGTCAATAGTAAACCTGAGGGTAAAGTTTTTGAAGGAAGAGATCCTACGGAAGTTAGTAGACTCAATCGTAATACGGATGATGTACATATTTGTTGCATGCGGAGACGGAAAATGTTTCAAGATCATTGGAATTGCCATAGAGAACCATTTCTTAAATATTGCATTCGAGGAGGTCACGAACTCTGAACCATCGCCCAGTATAGAAATCGTCTTTCTCATTCGAGCCACGGTAAAAGTAGGCATGATGAAGCATAATTAACTCTGAATAAGATTTAGGGTAATGGAATTGTTGCAGAAAACTGAGCGATTGAAATGGAAAATTGACCATGAAATCGGTAAATATCTTTGGATTTGAAATGTCTCAGAACGCCTTAGATTCCTATGTCCCTTTCAAGGTGCAACAAAAAAAGTTGATTGATTTTGCTAATCGTATGGAAATAGGTATGTAGGTTCTATTACTTGCTTTCTCACCCTCGAGGTAAAAAGGCTTCTGATATCGTATATTCTGATAAGATTACTGGCATTTTCCTCTAAATGAGGCAGTACAATTCCAAGCACATAGCTTAGCTCACAAATTCCAATGACAAGAACGAATGAAGCCAATTTTGGATACCCTATTCTAAAGTGAAGCATAGAGAGAGCGTTCTAAATCGATCAAACAACTAGAAGCCGGATGGGGCAAGGTCTGGACTATAATGCAGGTGAGGCATAACTTCAACCACTTCTTTCTAAATAGTTCCTTTAATGTCTGGCCAAATATTCAGCTAGTTTTTCGGTCAATGTTTCAAGCGAATCAGTTGCATTTGGTAAAGACATCACAGATCAGCCAGATTTCAACAGCCTATATAGGTTTCGTGAATTCTCTCTCTCACATACTGCTTTATTCTATCTGCATCTGTATCTGACATTACGTTATACGAATCTAATACGATAATGCGGTGTGTTGGTTAAGAGCAAAAATAAAGTATAGTGGCCATCTATCCGAACGTAGTATAGTAAATATAAACAAAAACAAAACACGGGAAAACAGAAGCAGAAACTGAACACTAGTGTGCGCGGTAGCAGCAGAAGCAAGTTGTTGTTATTGTTTTGTTTGTATGCGAATACGACGACAAAGAAGAAGAACGTTTGTTGTTTTGTTAGCAGTGTGTGGCTTGTTGGTTGTCTGTTTGCTGAAGTTCCAATCAGTCTGAAACGAATTGTTGTGAACGATGGAAGATAAATACGTCTAGAAGTGATCGAAAACAAAAGTGAAGTGAATATAAATTATATACACGTTAGACAAACATTTTAAAAGATTCACAGAAAGAATCAAAGAAAGAAGACAACTAGATCAAGTGTGAATAATTCTAGTAAATAAATTAAATGGTTTCGCTAACGTTTTAGTGCTAACATTAGCAGGAGAATGTTGATTAAGGAATTCAGATTTAAAATTAATAATTAAAATACCTTAAAATAAACAAATTATTGATTAATATTAAAAAAAGCCTTAAGTGCCATTTTGCAAATAAAGTCTGGTTTCTTAAAGTCCTTAAAACAAAAAAGTAAAATTTATTAAAAAAAAAACTACATGTTTAAAATCAAAAAACCTTTGTGTCTATAAAATTGTCCTCATACCTTGGTAATCAAAACAAAAAGTAAAAAAATAAGAAATAATCCTCTCTATCAGACATCCTTAAAAAGCATACACACAACAACATTTCAGCATAAAACAACAACCAAAAAAGCACTTGTGTTTTTGCCACTTTTGGGTATAAAAAAGTCTTCATAAACAGCAATAAAGAAAGTAAACACCAAAATAAAACGAATTTTTATTTTAGCAACAGTCGCAAAAATTCTAAAACTGCCTGCACCGTTCAGTTTATTTTTTCTTTACGTGTGTTTGTTGTATTTCGAGAGTAAATTTTATACTCCAACACAGACACACCAACTCATATCTACTCTGCATGCCAACCAAATCATTTCTACCCAAAAAAAAAGAAAGGATAATAAATTGTGCATTTGTATTAGAAGTATATTAGTATTCGTAAACACATTCACAGCAACTGCAGCATTTTAGTTTTTCCTACGATTATTATAAGGTGTGCGAAGTACAAGAAGAATCCCCGAAATATTCAACCAACCGTATGTTGAACAAAATACTACTACGACTAAAAATAATTTAAAAAATAAATGTATCCATATCAAAACATAAAAGGAAATTCGTAAAAAAAATAAAACAGAATTCCATTGTTTAAGGAAAAAAAGTGTCATATAAACCGGAGATTTTGATCAAAATTAAAAATAAATCCTCAACATCAGCATTGTCAACATATTTTATGTTTCAGGATATAAAGAGACTGTTTGCTATTTCCGTATAACTGGTTAATGTCATTAGTGGTAAGTACGATTTTCTTCATAATATTGTAATAGATATGATTATTTTAAGGAGTGAAGAAAGTGTTAATTTAAAAATTTAGTTATTATTCTTAAATTACGTAAATATTTCTTTAATTTTGTTAATTGTAAATGAAATTTCAGCTAGATATAATTAAAATCTCATTATAAGAGCACAATAAATGGTTGACAGTATATTATTATTAAAAAAAAACTTAATACTACACTCTAAAAATGTGCAGTAAACTAAGACTCATTTACACGATAATTTGATATTCGAATGATCCGAGTCGTACTCTGGGTTAAGCGATAGATACTTATATCAACTATAACACTTGTTAATAGTGAAACTTTAACAACAATAGCTAATACGCTGATCCGAAATACCCAAATAGTCGTCCAAAGACCTCGGTGCGTGTCTAGCAATATTCAAAGATCTTCGCCATATGCTCTGAGGAAAAATTGCATAAAATGATCTCTCTAATTTCTGAAGAACTATTTTTCCAATATTTAGCTACGATTTTGAAACATAAATTTATTCAATATATTGATAATTTTTAGCTATGACTTTTACAATCTTTCAGGCAACATATGCTTCTAAATCAAAGCAATTCCGCATACACTGTTCTGAAATTATGCGTATTCCAGAGAAAGCGTTTTGAATAGATCGAAACAAATAGTTGTCAGAAGGAGCAAGGAGTGGACTACTTAAAAGGCGGGTAAAACTTACCAACTTCTTCTAAACTAAACAGTTTTTACAGTTACATGTCTGTACACATTTTCTGTTGATTTTTCGGCCAATGCTCGTTTCAAACGAATGAGTTGCATTAGGTATAAGATCCCTATGATGGTCTTGTCAGATTTCAACAGTATATGATAGGGTCCCACTAAATACATGCCATGGATGACATACATTCATTCACATTCGATCTATAAATACCATTTGCATTTAATTTCTTCCCACGTCTAGTATTGGAACTAGACGTAAAAGTTCTTTATATCTATATCAAGTGAATCTCTTTTAATTGGTGTGAATATCATTGTATTGATTACGCCGTCCGACACTAAAAATTAGACACGAACCGAATGATATACATCTGAAACTATAAATTTAATTGATAAAAACTGCGTTTTTAGTTTTTAATTTCGTGATCCTGTGTCCTTTTTAAAGGACTTCAAAGTTTTAAAAAGTACATTTTTCAAAAAATATTTTAAAATACTTTTACTGATCAAACAATGCTAAATTTGATGTCAAGCCAACAAGAAGAGTTGTAAAATATTTTGTGTTATTTTTATTATATTTTGTCAGAATAAAAAGATGTAAAAATGTGTTTCCAAAATTTTTTTTAAAAATAATATTGAAAATTTAAATAGATAAAATGATAAAAAATTTAGAAGACATTTTTGACAGATTTTTATCCTGACAGTATAAAATAAAAATAATACAAAGTATTTCCCAACTCTTCTTGTTCGCTTGACATCAAATTTGACGTTGTTTGATCAGTTAAAGTATTTTAAAATATATTTTTGAAAAATGTACTTTTTAAAACTTTGAAGTATTTTTAAAAGGACACAGGATCACGAAATGAAAAACTAAAAACGTAGATTTTCTCCTTTAAATTTATAGTATATCATCCAGTTCGTGTCTAACGATTTTTTTCTCTTTTTGTCGGACGGTGTTATATCACCATTACAAGAAACTGCAAAGTTTTTCCTGATACATTCTTAATAGATATGTTGGTTCAAAAATGGTCCAGCGTGTTCTGTTTTGCTACCGGAAGACTTTGACGCGATCAATGCAATCACGGAAATAATCCAAAAATAAAATAGTTCACTAAATAATTCAAAATATATATTAAATTTTTATGATCCGTGGAACTATAGCATTATAGGATCATAAGTAAGCAAGTTCAATATCATCCGCCCCGAATAGATCTGAATGTTCGGATGAGGACTAAATCGCTATGTGCGGGCAGAGGTTATATTAAACAAGGTGGAAATATAGGATCATAAGTAATTCTACCAGGACTAGATAGTGTCAGAGCAGTAAGTTGTCTCCCGTTACCAATAGAACTGATTGTTTGAATCTATATATATAAAAATGAATGTGTGTTTGTTTGTATGTTTGTATGTTTGAACGTTATAGACTACTAAACGGCTGAACCGATTTTCTTGAAATTTTCACAGCGTATTCCTGCATGTCTGGAATAGGTAATAGGCTACTTTTTGTTTCGAAATTTCAAGTGGGCGATGAGCCACGCCCACATTAAGAAAATATAAAATCAGTATATTTGAGATAATGTAACAGTTAGAGTCCTCAAATTTTGTCGGAGCCACTTTAGTGTCAATATGATCATTTAGGACAAAAAGTAGGCGGACTAGCGTTAGGGGGCGTGGTACCCCCCATATAAATTAAATACAAAAATTCGTTTATCTGGGAAACTAATAGAACTAAATTCTTAAAATTTAGCACGAAGAACTTTAATATCCATGTAAACATTTTGGGTAATAAATTGGCGGACTACCCATGAGGGGAGCGGCACCTCCCTTATTAATTAAAAACAAAAATTCGTTTATCTGGGAAACTAATAGAACTAAATTCTTAAAACTTTGCACGAAGAACTTTAATATTCATCTGAACATTTTTAAGGAAAAAAGAGCGGACCTTCATCTGGGGGGCTTGGAGCCCCCATATGAATAAAATAGAAAAATTCGTATATCTGAGAAACTATTACATGTAGAATCTTTAAATATTACATGAAGTACTTTGACATTAATGTGAACATTTAGGGAATAATTGGCGGACTTTAAATGGGGGACTTGGCTTGACTTTCCATATTAATTAAATACAAAAATTCGTTTATCTGGAAAACTAATAGAACTAGATTCTTAAAATTTTGCACAAATTATTTTAATATTCATCTGAATATTTTGGAGGCAAAAGGGCGGACTTTCATCCGGGGAGCATGAAGCCCCCACATGAATTAAATTCGTATATCTGAGAAACTATTAGAGCTAGAATCTTCAAATTTTACATGAAGAACTTTGACATTCATGTGAACATTTAGAGAATAACGGGCGGACTTTCAATGGGGCGCTTGGCACCACAAATATGAATTAAATACAAATTTTTCATAGATAGATAGAAATTGGCGAACTTGCAATAATTTGCTTGGCATCTCTCATATGTAACATATTGTTAATCTGGAAAACTATTATAGTTAGAATTTTCAAAATTGTTAAGTGGGTTTTTTATTTAATCAGTTTAAACGGCTAAACTGATTTTCTTTAAATTTTCACAATATCTTCCTGTATGTCTGGAAGGAGTTATAACTGCTTTTTATGTTGAAATTTCAAATGAGCGAGGTCCCACGTATAGAGTCCCCAAATTTTGTACAAGTAACTTTTGTTTAAATACAAATATTTTGGACAAAAATAGGGAGTTCAGCAAAAGCTGGCGTGGCACCTCCCATATGAAGTAAATACTAAAATCTCATTATTAAAATATGTATATCTAGAAAACTATAATAGCTAGAGTCCCCAATTTTGGTGCCTCTCGCGTGAAGTAATTACAAAAAATTTTATATTCTTATCTATATATATAAAAATGAATGTGTGTTTGTTTGTATGTTTGAACGTTAGAGTCCTCAAATTTTGTCGGAGGAACTTTAGTGTCAATATAATTATTTAGGACAAAAAGTAGGCGGACTATCATTCGGGTGCGTGGCACCTCCCATATAAATTAAATAAAAAAATACCTTTATCTTGGAAACTATTACAGTTAGAATCTTCAAATTTTGCACGAAAAACTTTAACTTCCATCTAAACATTTTGGGTAATAAATTGGCGGACTACCCATGAGGGGAGCGGCACCTCCTATATTAATTAAAGACAAAAATTCGTTTATCTGGAAAACTAATGGAACTAAATTCTTCAAATTTCGCATGAAGAACTTTAATATTCATCTGAACATTTTTAAGGAAAAAAGAGCGGAACTTCATCTGGGGGGCTTAGAGCCCCCACATGTATCAAATAGAAAAAATCGTATATCTGAGAAACTATTAGAGCTAGAATCTTCAAATATTACATGGAGAGCTTTGAAATTCATGTGAACATTTAGAGCTTAACGGGCGGACTTTCAATGGGTGGCTTGGCACAACATATATGAATTAAATACAAAATTTCGTGCATCTTGGAAACTCTTATATTTTTCAAATTTTTATAGATAGATAGAAATTGGCGATAGATAGAAACTGGCGAACTTGCAATAATTTGCTTGACATCTTTCACATGTAACATATAATAAATCTGGTATTTATTTATACATATTCCTTTTAGGGTAGCAAAGCACACTGGGTATAGCTAGTGAGGACATAATTCAAACTCTCTATGTAGTGGCAGAGCTTAGATTAAACTAGGTTTCTCTTTCAGTGACACTGTTGGACTATTCTATTATTATATTTCTTTACATGGAAGAGATAATCCAGGAAGTCAACAAAATGTCGAACTGTACTTTTTCTGACAACTCAGACAGAAGTCTTGTTTTAGCAGTTTTTTACTACTGATGTATATAACATTCAAGCATTAACCATGCCCAAAGGCTCTTTATTTTGCCTCTCCTTCTCGCTAAGTAACGATTACATAGCCTATAAAAGGTTTAGCCCTGATTCCACAGATCAAGTACTACGATCTGCAAAAACACCCGCTTTTGGTCATACATATTTGAGATGTTTAGTTAGAGCGAAGACATTTTTGTTTATAAAATCTGTTATGTCACCTGAAAGTCCAATCCTTCGACTTTAAAATTAGGGATTAACCTCTGTTATATCTGCTGTTTTCTTCGTCATATCATGCCAGATTTTATAGTTCGGTCTTGGGGTTTTGCATTTTTTCAAATTGTATTAGTCAATATTTATAACCTATACAACTATTGTGCGAAGAGTATTATGCGTTTGTGCAGATGTTTGCAACACCCAAAAATATTAGTTCTACACCCACCTTAA